GTTAAATAACGCTACATTACCACCCTAGTCGATACAAGGCTTGTCCGAGTGTGAAATACCCTCTGGCTTATCAAACCCCCGCAGAGCTTCTTTTTTTATTATACATCAAACCAAGTCTGGTCCAGGGGACACCTCAGGATACTGACGCCATTCTTATTGCCCGCTATGGACACCATAACTTTGTTGGAGGTTAGTCCTCCCGTGTGAATTCACAAGAATAATCTAACGGTGCTGATAGAAGTTAGAAAAATGATGAAATAACTCAAAATAAGAAGCTACCTCAAAATGGATAAGTTTTGGAAAAAAAAGTTTGTTACGCTTCAATTTTTTACTTCATTTTATCCTTCTATTTTATCTTGTATATTATGGTGTTTTTCGGACGAAATTCTTGAAAGTCCAAAACTCCGTCTTAATGTTTAACAGGAGCGTTTCTCGGGAAGCGTAAAAGATCTTCCGAGTAAAGGACCGAGCTAAAGTAAGAGATAGAAAAATAAGGAGCCACAGACGTCCGCCGCAATTATTCGCACAGAGCCTTGAGTTATCCCGTCGTCCAAGGTTACCTGGAAATTTCGTTCCACCGAAGATTCCATAAAAAAAAAGGGAGCGAATAGGGGATGAAAGAAAAAAAAAATATTTCAACAAGGATCTTGCCACTCATCAGCCTGTTGCGGATGCCTCGTGCCCCCGTCGACTTTCATAGAGGGTGGCGGGGGTGGCTCAGGGCAGCCCCGTTTCTCGAATATAAAAAAAAAAGCCAGAGGGTTGCACCCCACGTGGTTCAAGACCCCTGCAGTCGCGTGCTGGTAGATAAAGGGCTGCTAATTGATTATAATAAGCGGAGGAAGTAGGGGTGGCTTTCTGATTCTTATCCGGGGCGGAGGGGGTGAAAACTACCGTTTACCCGCTTAACGAACAGTATAAAAACTTCCTTCACGCATCGCGGCGCCCGGCGTCCTTATTTCAGGAATCCAAAAAAGTTCAAAAAAATTTCCAAAAAATTATATTCTTTCGTCCACAATTCTGCGAATTTTGAAGGGATTAATTTTTCAAAAAATTTCTCTTAACATATACATATGCCTATATGTATGTTTATAAGGAATGAAACAGACGGTGCCGACATGCGAGGGCGTTCGAAAATTTATCGTCTTCATTTGGCCGCGTCCATATTTATAGCGTCGTTACGAACAATATGGCGCCTATTAAGCGATATACGATGCTCGGCGGCGCACAATCGACGCAATAAGCTTAATAAATATTGATTATTTAATTAATGTATAATCGTTGCGTGGGATACCGCTTTATTGGTAGTCCATCGGTACGCCCACCATGACGTCGTAACACGCGACGCCCGTCTCAACGCCACTGACTTATCTCATCCTAAGCGTCCTTTTCTCATCCTCGTACATACATGGGAGATCCGCATCGTCGCGACGCTTCTCGCTAACTCGAACGGCTTTTTTGCGCTCTCTATTAAGCGACAAAAAAGTCCTTCGGTAATCTTCTCAGATCACGAATATTCTGGCTGTGAGAAACTTCGTTGTCTGCACGTCAGACTTTTCTTCAATGGAATCAGTAATTGCAGGGTTATTGGTTTAATTGTTCGTTGCCAAGCTGGCAGGGACCAATGGCGCCGACACCCACACAATAAATTTTATTAATTTTTTTCTTCTACTCTTCGATTCGGACTCTACCTTTTTTGCCTTCCTTGACCTTTTCTTTCCTGTCTATGGAAACACTGCCGATACTGTATACTACTCTATCGTATAGTCTATGCATCTGGTATCTGTCTGGTAATTCAACGTGGCTTCTTCTTTTTCTTCTCACTCGGAATCCTTCACTACTCGGTCGGTTCGTTCATTTCTTCCTGGAAGCAGCGACTACTCGTTTTCATTTCTCCTTACGCGATTAGCGCTCTCGACTTTATGTGCCTGGTAACCCACCTAGTTCTCTCGTGTGAACTTCCCTTCATGCATTATATATATATATATAAACCTGTACTTAAAAAAGAGGAGATACACAGACAGTTCTATGACTTTTGTAAAAAGTTAAATAATTCCCAGCATAAAGGTCACGTATGAAAATTCTTCGTTAGATAATTCTAAATAATTCAACGTACGGAATTCCCTAGGAAAATCCCTAGAAGTACGGGGTCCAAAGTACAAGAATCGTAGGTACAATAAAACGGACTGCTTACACTCGGTAAATAAAATTTCGAACGGTGGTGGGCATTCAGGAAAATCAGCATATATTTAACAAAGGACATCGAAAATCTTTCAAGCTCTCTCTCTCTCTCTCTCTCTCTCTCTCTCCCATATAGAATTTCGCTCACAGGAATATCGATAAAAATCGTAAAGTCCCTGAAAAGCTGTTGGATTCGTAAAATTTGAATGATTTTCTTTTACCCCAGGTTTTAGCACTGGCTAAGGTTACCGTAGGACTTCACTTGGAAGGGACAATTCATAAAATGGACAAATGGACTAGAAGTTCATGGTGCTATACGAAAGTCTATGGTGGTGCTTACTATGGTCGATGGTAATGGTAGTGCGGTTATATGGTAGTCTTTGGTTAAAGCATAGCGTTGGTAGTGGCACGCGTGAATTGAAAGTCTGCTAGGCACTCCCGAGCATTCTGAACAGCTTCCATTGGGGGTCAGGCGATGGGACCCAACCATCATTTGAATAACAAAGTCAGCCCGAGACGCTCCTCGAGCCGGTAACTTTGCGTTTATCGCGTCGTTTGCATGCCAAGCAGATTGATCGTGAATTCCTCGTTCCTGTGATTTTCGTCGATTTTATAGTATTTTAGGTAAACAATCAATGTATAGTATACATAAAAAAATATATATATTGAATATATTCCCATTTTAATTAAACATTAATTTTTTACATACGAACACCCAAAGAAGATCATACAAGCTTAAGAAGTGTGACGTATATATAATATTAATTATGCTCAAGTCACGTACACATGAAATAAGCAAAAGAAACGAGTGAAAACGATGAACATCGTGTTACCCAGTAAAAATGTATTTTATCAAAAAATGGGGATTACCGTATAAAAAAATCTTTCCAAAAATTTTTTTTATATTTTTCTTATTATTTCTACGACCTTGTTTGAGAACCCCTGAGATCTATTAAAATGACACGAATATCACGTAATGCCACGTTGTTTTGCCAGGGTCTGCAGTCAGGACGGACATCCCTGCTGGCGAGCATAGTTATACGGTAGAAAAAAAAAACGAGGATAAAGAAGTATAAGAGAAAAGTGGAAGAAAAGGAAAGAGGATGGTCAAAAAGAAGAGAGAGGGAGGAGGAAAGGATGACGAAAAGAAAAAAAGTGAAAATATGGAGCGGGTGGCGGCAGTGACGCTAGGCGATCGGAAGTGTGTCAAATTACAGAGGTCCGTGATATTAATGACTCTTAATGACATGCCCCCTCTCCTACCGCAGAGTCCTCTTCTTGGCTCCAGTCTTGAGCTTGCTACTACGTGGAGTCCCCCTGCCCGCAAGGTTGGGCCCTACCTTTTACTCTCTACTACCTCCTGACCGAAAGACCCCCCCGGTGCGTTGGACTTTATGGTACTATATACATATATATATATATATGGTATAGCCAGTGGCTGGTCCTGCCGCTCTTGAATTCACAGAATCCACATTAAAATAAAATTACTAATTGACGAAGGCTAATAGCAATAAGACAAACAACCGGCTAAATGCTATAAAGTAAAACACAGGTTGGTAATGCCGTCTCTGTAGGGAGATCTGTACGAGGCTCCCATATATACTTGCTGGTACCAATACATATCTGGACAACCAATGATGGGTCTTACTGTTGCGCTACGGTTACGACCGGTTCAACATTTCCAGGAGATGGGCCCACTCTTATTCTTTTCTCTTGTTTTCTTTTATTTTTATGCATTTCTTAAGTACCTCCTGTATCATTGTAAACCGACGTAATGATCTTGTATGAAAATTCGGTACTTTTCACGGTAGTGCGTTATACGTACGAAAGAATTTTGTATATGAGAAATTTTTGGTTATGCGAATAGTCGGGGATCCGTTGTGGCAATAAATGTCAATTTTCGATCTTTTGTCAACTTTTATGTTACCACTTCATGTTTCCTTGTCTCTCGTGGTTTACGGGACTGCGAATCTTGCGTCGGGGAATATCGCAAAGGACGTAACTTTCTGATACAACGTAAACGGCGAAGATCGATGAAATTGGACTTTAATAGTTGGTCTGAGCGCATCTCTGTTTCTAATGGGACAAGTTAACGTTGTCCCAAAAACATTAGAGGGTGTTTATTAGATAGTTTTGGGAAAACGGTAGAGAATTTTTATTAGGCACTGCAGAATCGCAGGTTAGGTTCCACGATGTTATTTCAGGGGTATTGAGGTAAAATTATCGAACAGTTGAAGTTTCCCACGGGAGTGTGCGAATTATATTTTGCTTCTTTTTTACAAAAAAAAAAAAAAAAGAACAAGTCAATTTCGGGTAAAAGTTATTCCCGAATAATGGTAGAAATATTTCTAACAGAGAACTTAAGCGCAACCCCACCCTTATGCCCTTTTCGCAAACTCTGGAACACTTTAATCTTTGCAAATTGTAGCGAATTATATCGGTAGACTAAAAATTTCGTGGGGCTTACGGTGACTCGTATTTTTTTTACGAGCACCATGAAAATCCATCTTTCAAACCATCTATCCTCTGCTTCTCGTTCCTTCAGGGCCTTAAGGCCCCAAGAGCTACGAACTCGACTACTCGAAAACGAATGACAAACCACGCGGCTTCGGCATAGAGGCGGGACTCGGCCCACCGTAATTGACTTTATGACATATTTTACTTGGAAAGAAATTAGTGGAGCGATAAACACACCATAAGGGTGGACATGGGTGAAAGGGTGAAGGGAAAGAACGCCAGGCCTCTTCTTCTTATACGTCTCAGTTATAAAATCTTTATATAAAAAAAAAATTATTAATTATTATTTAAAAAAAACTCACCCTGTATAGATTCCGGTGACGGGGGTTCCTTGTCGATCCTGCCAAGAGCATCGCTCGCTGTAACAAAAAATGTTCTCAAAATTAATAAAAATTTCGAATTGGTGATTTCGAAATTTTTTCAAATTAAACTAAAACCTTCGTTACACAGTGGTTATAAATTTGTTTTTTTTTTTTCGAAATTTGAGAATTTCCTGAAATTTTACCAGGATCCAATATTCAAATAATCTATTTGGAAACCCCTTGGCGACCGGCCATGGGATATGGTGGTAATTCCGGCAGGAGATGACCACCATACGTCACCAGGGTTGACCAACCCCCAGGCTGGCCACCTACTGCACCCTGGGGGCTCGCTACTCAGCCCGAAACGACTGTATTCAGATAATCCTACCTTTCTACCCCATACGAGAAGACATTTCAATACGGGTTCTTATGGGAGACCATATACACTAAGGGGAGAATTCTCAATAACATTATAGTACATCCTTCCCGAGGACTATCATTTCCAAATATCGTCACAGACATTTTACCTCGGTGTATCTCAAATTTCGAAAAAAGATCCGCTACACCGAATTATATCACAATTTTTCATTCATTTATTTTCATTCAAAATTATTGACAATCACATAGAATCTAAAAATACATAGGAACTATATGCTTCGGTGCACCTTACGTTTCCACTAATGCGATTTTAATCAGGTGTCGCTCCACCCACTGCGCTGTAGCAATTCATGAGAATTACAGTCGAAAAATATGAGAACGAAGCTATGACCTGACCTACAGCAGCAGAATTACTAAGCTGGACCGGAAGTGGGTGGTACCATCCGCCTGCAGATCCACAAAGAGCTTTATATAGGGTTACCCGATTAAAATGCACCAAATCAGACACGACAGCATCCATGCCACAGACGCGCTATAAACAGAAATTAATCGATAATAAAAAAAGAAATTATTATAAATTTAAAAACAAAGGTATTTCCCTAAAAATTCAAATAACTCACAATTACGATTTTTTAATTTTATGGATACTTTTTCAACTGAATCGCCCTGTATGCTCTCGAATTCTCAATGATCTCTACAAATTACCATCCAAAACAATAACAGTATCATTTACGACTCCGTTTTCATGTACTAACGAGAAGCGTGCATGCTTACGGTCCTTAATGAGTGTCCCGCGTCCATCTTGATGTGACCAATTACCTCTTTTCATGGAATAAAATAAGAAAAATAAAGATAATATTTTTTTTTCAAATAAAAGCTGCAACTTCGTCTCACTAAAATTTTTCCTACGACATCATGAGAGATCACGACTGTTTGTATCGGGTCTGTTTACAGTAGGGCTTAACACCTACTCCCGGCAAACACCGTCTAGTTAGAACAATGGGTGAGAATACGGTAGGATGCTGCGCGAGAAAGATGCTGCAGCTAATGAAGGTTTCCTGTCAAAAGTTCAATACCGACGTTTACCTCTTTTCAGCGCTGGAGACTTCATATATATATATATACACACTAAACTACGTGCATACATATAAGTCGGCCATGTTGTCCAATAGAAACCCCCAAGAGTGTCGTCGAGAAGTTACAGCTAGACATACGTCTCAGGGATGCTGCAGACGGAATGCCAATGCTTTTAAAGGCAAAGGTATATTTGTTCAGGTAAAAAGAGCGAGGGATCAGATGAAATATTCGAAACCAATATAAAATGTGCACCTGTAGAATTTTCATTATCACATAATATACATGCGTAAACTAGTTGATGAAAAAAATTCCAAAATATTTAACTGAAAAATATACATTTTTGAAATTCTAATATTCACCCCCTGTACGTAGCAATGCGTATGTAGATTGAAAATATTTTTTGTATGATAAAAAAAATGTGTGGAAAATTTTTATCCACTACCCTTGTCTATGGCTGTTCTGTCTACTAGCGGTTAATTATTAATTCTCTCCGATTTTCTGACAGCGCTGCATCGCGTGTCTGCGGTTGGTCGCTTCTTAGTATTCATAAAGGTCAGCCAGCGAATGGCATTGCAATATTTTCAAGCACGTATGCCTCATCGAGGGACTGTTATATATAGATATATGCCAGTCTAAGCAATATATGCTGACATATATATGTATATAAAGTATATACATATATGCGAAGTCGTGCAATAATGACAAAGCCGTGGGTTTTATCATTATTTCACGATTATGATCTCATTCGCTACAAAATCACTAGGCTTTTCTTCTCTCTTCGACTCTGAGCCATGCTGAATGTAAGGGTTGGTACTGATAAAAGTTACAAAAAATACCAATATGAAAAAAATTATCAAAAATGTATTTGTTAAAAAAAAATTATTTTTAAAAATGACTTTCATCTACGGCAGCAGATAGGCAATGTGGCGAAGGGTGTATAGATAAGGGTGGAAACGAGATTTTAATAATTCATGAAAAACCTATAATAACAAGTGTAACAAGCATGATGTAGATACCCAGGTCTATATACAAGGTATGTGTGAAATATTAATCACGACTTTGGGCATTTGTGGTCAGTGGCTAAGAAGAAAATCGAAGCTGATTTTAGGGTGGTTTTATACATACAGAACTCTTGTACATATAACATGCAAGTGACTCCGACTACCCCTGTTACGTTGTATTATATTATAATCATACAGAGTACATATATATATATATATATATACACATATATATATGTCTTTTATCTTCTTTTTCTTTGGTCACTATATGAATACCGGATGCGGTTTTGAATCTAGTTTGCGTGGCGGCATCAATTTTTAAAAGCCACCCCCTATATGCATTCGAATAGGTCGATATGGAAACCACGTATCTCCATTGGTAAAATACGCGGCCCGTATCGTTCTCCATATGATATTCCTTCGGGGGGTGGATGGGGTAGGGGTTGAACGTGGGTAATAAAAAAAAATCACAGTATCAGAACGATCGTGAAAAATCTACCTGACTAAAGTGCCGTTAAAAATACGAAATAATTATATTAGGGGTGTAAGCAGTAATGGGGTTGAAATCGAATAAATGCAACGGGACGCCATTACGAGAAAGATTATTTTTAAAACAAGAATATTTCCTTTCCGCTTGGTGACATAATGAGGAGTGCTCGACGGGGGTGCGATAATGGCGGCCGTTATGAAGAAATCAACCCCCTGGTACCCCTCTCTACCGGGAGCGACCACTACTTGATCTTCCCGTCTCCATGGTAACCGCCTTGTCCAACGAATCCCCCTCCCCCGCCTCTACCAAGGGTCGCTTGGACTAGCGGCTAGTTTGATTGGCTAGTAGAAAGTCCTTCCCTTATTATGAAAGATATTTTGCCCGAGAAGGGGTTGAAAATGGAAAAACTAATCACCGCAAGACCAACCCCTAGATTGTATTCACTGTGTACTGTAAAAGCATTATCCGATGGGTCCGCTAGACGTATACCCCCTATCCATCAAGTTACGTATATCCACCCCCTTAGAGATACATAAATATATCATTTATACCAGCTCGGGGAAAAAAAGGCTGAATGAAACTCTAGAAAATCCACTGATCAAGGGAAACGAATGGAGGTTGTCTCAAAGGGCAATTAGTTCTCTAATATGACGTCAGGAACCTACAGTAGGTACACGATCGATCATTACCGAAGCGTTAATCGCTCTCGAGTCGACCTAATCCTGGCGAAAACTGATGGATTCCGAAATAATTGCTTAAAGGGTCCGGGGGTGAGTGTAGGGGGTTGCTGCTCGCGCCCTTACAGATGGCCCGAGCTGCATTGTGCATCGGGGGTGTAGTCGAATGAAAGTGAGAGAAAAAAAGAAGTAGCGAGAAAGCTAAAATAGAAATTGGTAGAACGACATCGAACTTGGGGATGGGATTGAAGGGGTGGTGGGGGGAAAATTATTTGAAATTGATGAGTGTCCCTGGGACTAAGAAGGGTTGTTGTTTGGTAGCTTGGGGATGCGCGTGCCAAACGTGTGTTGTGCATAAAGGGTCCAACCCCTTTATTGGTTTCCTGCACCCCTAAGAACAACCCCTTTGGATAACAGTCTTTTCTTAATGCACGGCGTCGCTAATAATAATCGATCTGTTCGTGAATTTTCATAGATCATGATTTTTTTTTTCTATCCTAAGCGCACCTGTTTTCAATCAATTTTTTGGAAAATTATTTCTAATCAAATTACGGTCTCGGCTCTTGCCTAACGTTGTACGGAATTTTATTAGATAAGTCTGAAGGTGTCCAGGCATTTCAGCTATAAAGTACACGTGCTTCGTGTTAGCGTTCACGTTGCCACGGACGTAACAATGAGCCATTAGCACCCTCTGGTAAAGGGCAAGGGTGTTTTTCGCAAAACAATTACAGATCCTCTGAGAACGCTGATGAAAGTACAGGTATATATATATATATTCGAATATACGATTCCCATATGGCAATGACGGTAAGATAGTAATTACAAAAAAAAATATTATAAATAGTGACACGATAAGATTCTCAGCAAGATTCGAGATAATCATTCAGTGCCTTGTTGGCACAATTAATTGGTAACCACATATGCGTGAAGTGAAGAAAAGTATCAAATTGAATATTCATTAAAATGTAAATTCTGCAGTACCTGGCTATTTAAAAAATAATAACAGAAATTCTATTTAATTGGTGCAACTGCCTATCCTACGTACAAGAGTCGTACCTGTGTTATGGCTGACAATTAAGAGCTCGATCTTAAGGATCGCTAAGATGATCTACCCATAATTACCCCAACTAATTAAAAAAGTTTGTCGGCAATTAACAACATGAATATCCAATGTCCCGGACTGTGCCCTGTATATCATCTTGATATTCTAACCAATAAAAAAATTTCTTACATTTTCTTTCACATTAAATCAATTCGCATCTGGACCAAACTCAAAATCCCTTGACGGTCGCGCGATCTAAACACGAAAAAAAAAATAAATAAAAAAAAATTAAATTGACTTTTTCTCCGGCAATTAATCTGTTCGTAGAAAAATGCCACATCTCAAAATATTACATCCATTAGTTGTATGTTCCAAGAAAAATCGAACATGAC